TAATAACATTTTTTAACTTTGTGTATGACAAATTTTGTATATTTTCTGGGATTTTGTTGAAAAGCAATCGTCCATCATATATATGCCCCAAGAATGAATTACTGACTCGCTACTACCACTTGCTCCTAGTATTTACAAAATGAATATCACTTATTTTCGCAAAACTACTTTTATTTTTGTGTACGTACATAACATTTTCATAAATGTATTGAGAGGCCAGAATTAATATATGAATTTCCTTAAATTTTTGTCTCAGTGACTCTTTTGGTTTTAAATTATATATTGCTCTAATGGCCCTCTTCTGTAAAATAAATATAATTTCAGTGTCAGTCGCGTGTCCCCATAGCAAAATACCATACGACATAATGCTATGAAAATAACTAAAGTAAACTATTCTAGCTGTTTCAACACTGGTAAGAGTTCTAATCTTTTTTACAGCATATGCTGCAGAAATAAGTCTGCTAGCTAGTTTTGATATATGGGGGAGCCATTGAAACTTTGCGTCCAGTGTGATTTCAAGAAAAATGGTGGTATCAACAAGACTCAGTTGCCCCCCCATTTAAAATTACATTGGTATTGACATGTTTAACATTAGGAGTTACGAATTTCATACATTAGTAGTTTTAGTTCCATTCAAATGCAAATTATTAACATTAAACCAATTGACTAACTTAGCTATAGCATTATTTACTTCGTCGTAATTTAATAACTGTCGTTTTAATTTGAAAATTAATGAAGTATCATCAGCAAATAATACTATATCATGGTTATCCCCTACTATGTAAGGTAAGTCATTAATATATACAAGAAACAGAAAGGGACCGAAAATTGAGCCCTGAGGCACGCCCATTTGTACAATCGACCCGGAAGAACTCATACTATTAATAACAACTTTTTGTGTTCTGTCATTTAAATATGAAATAATTAATTTAAGAGCATCATTTCTTACACCGTAGTGTTGAAGTTTCCTGATTAATGTTTCATGGTGAACACAATCGAAGGCTTTGGATAGGTCACAGAACACACCCAAAGCATCCTGTGAATTCTCCCATGCATTAAATATATATTTAATCAGCTCAACACCAGCATCAGTTGTCGAGCGACCCCTTGTGAAACCAAATTGATTTTTATGAAGTAATTTATTTACATTAAAAAAAATTAACAATTGATCAAGAATAATTTTTTCAAAAATTTTACTAAGTGTTGGCAGTACAGAAATAGGTCTAAAATTAGCGGGGTCCAATGTACTACCTAGCAAACATACACACATTGCAAGTTTAATAAAAGCTTAGAGTATATGAATCTCATTCTGCAGTTAATCGCCGAAAATATTCAGCAAAACTTGATCATATCTTTTAGAAATTATATAATATAATTTGACAAGTTTATCACAATTTAAAATACTGATTTACCACGTGTGAGTTTATGAACAAAAACTCCCTACGGAAACTTGAGTGACTTAGAATTAAAATATTTTCGTATATGTGTGAAGTCCGCTAAAGTGCATGGAGTATAGCGAGCTTTGCTCTACTCTTCTATAAACTTCAAGACAGAAGCTTCAAACTCTGCAGCTAATATTTTAAGGCTGTTACTTTACTGTAACGGTTTCGAGTGACAACGCATCTGCATTTTGATTCGTAATCGAAGATAGATGTAGATTTCTATGGGCCACAGCAACCACTTACCATCAGGTGGCCTGTGTACTCGTTTATCACCCTATCCTATTTAAAAAAAAACATAAATAGGGATACTTTTTTATAAGAGACATTCTACTCAAGTAGAATTCTACTAAAGCTGAAGTGAAATAGCAGGTATTCAACGAGGATTGATACAGGCTGTTTATAGGCTACAATTACCGCTACCTATTAAGTAGGCTGTACAATCATTTGTCATTTTTACTCAGAAATTTAAAAATCAAATTCAAATTCATTACGATTAGACTCCATGATTAGAACGCTCTTTATTATATTATGTTTTCCATTGATTGCTCTGCTTTTAACTTTTAGGAGATAAAATATTATTTAAAATAACAATTGAATAACAATTACTTAACTTTTAAAAATTTTACAAACCTCTGGTTTCGATGATGTTGATACTGATAGCCTATGCGGCTCTTACAACTTTGTAGGACTCAGGGCTTTTAAAAAAAGTGAATTCATACATTCCGCATCGTTACTTGCGTAACGATGATTTCTATGACTGTGCACGTGAAAGAGTTATTTAACGACCATCCGAACGGAGGGTGGTAAGCCCCGGCTGTGACGGCTAACTCGTGTAGTTCGATGTTCTGGGCGGTGAAAATTGCCCAGGGACGCGGGTGTATGGTGTGCACGTGATGTGGAGGAATACGCGGCTGCCCGTCTGCGGACTTGCTGTGTCCCATCCGTTGTCCTATCTGTGTTTGTGGCACTAAGTGAATGTGTAGTGTCTATGTGTGACGGGCCGGCGACATTTGTGTCGTCGGAATCTAGTGGGACTGAGGGTTCATTTAAAACGTTGCGGGGCCTAAGGAGGTTTTGCTTCACGTTTTGAAACGGAGCGTGGGTTGCTGCGTTTACCACTAACGGGTTGGGAGAAATGTCTCAGCGCTCTCAAAGTAGCGCGAGCTCCGGCGGCGGTGCGAATTAATCTATTTTGGATTACTTGTAGGTCGTTCAACGTTTATGAGCTATGTGTGCGAAGGCTACCCTTAGGACATGATAGGTCTTACGTAAACTTAGGACATGATAGGTCTTACGTAAACTTTTTAGAGGTGGAGCTTGTGCCTAAGGGACAGTTTGCACACACTTTTAACTAGTGACGAATTTGGCCTCTCTTGAATTTGAATTGTGAATGTGGTCTCTTATATAGGTCAAACAAAAAGATCGATAAAAACCCGTGTGAAAGAACATATAGCTGACGTGAAGCACCGACGCTCCGGGAAGTCTGCAGTCTGTGAACATATTCAAGATAGTCCCCACCATTACATCAGATTTGATAAACCACAAGTCCTCGCAAAAGAACACCGATTCCTACCAAGGATAAAATAATAATGATAAGTGAGGCTATTGAAATTAAAAAACATCCTAATTTCAATAGAGAAGATGGATGGGTGCTACCATCTGCTTGGGATCCTATAATTAACAAAATTATACCCAAACCCAAGCATACAACTGCAAGACTTCAAGATACTATAAGCTCGTTAGGCGTAAATCGAACCGAAAAATTAATATCAAAAAACTGAAGGTAGCCGGGCTAACTATGACATTGGGATGTCAAACATCTCAGTCCCCCCCCCCGTGACCATTGGTGCTGTAAAGCAACCGAAACGTCGGGAATTAAAAATAAGTAAAATCAGTTAAATAAACGCGATAAAATCCGTAAATTTAGTTTTATTCAATGTGCAGTGTTCGCGTAAATTTAAGAAATTATTAGTCAGAAAGTCTACCTTGCGGTTGTACAAGCATTATGGTTTTGAGTATTGTTTTTTAGGCGCACTGGAAAAACCAGATTGCATCGATTAGTCCTATATGCTCACTCGTTGCGTTGAGCTTGTCCTGGGAGGTGGTACCTCAGCGGAGCTTGTGGGCCAAGGAAGATAATTCAGCGAAGTTTATGTTACTGATAAAGCCGCAAACTAGAGAGAAGTCAGCGGCGAAAGAAGATGAGCCTTGCGGCTTAGGTTTGGGGGCCTGAGGAGGCGGCATTGGCCGTGAGGCGACAATTGCTGGAGGCTTTAGATACGCGTTGGGTGGGAGGAGGGATACTGAAGATGGTGCATGTTTGGGAGCAGGCAGCCGAAAATGCGACAGCTGGGCTGATCCGCACATCTGTAACGGCTTTTGCCTCCGCGCTGTTTGCGTCGCGGCGCTTTGCAACACCCGCGATAGTTCTCTAAGTGTCCCTCTTCGCCGCAATTAACGCAGCTTGGAGGCTCTGGCGTCTCGGGTGTGCGGGTGCAGTCGGTAGTGCCGTGGTCACCTAGACACTTGACGCGCCTAGGCGTCGCGTAGCAATTTCTGGCGAAGTGGCCGTACAATTGTCATCAATGGCATTGATCATCGATACCTCTATAACGTAGCCTTCTACGGCAATCCCTGTTAGATAGCAGATACGTCATACATTGAAAATCCCATTGTCTTCCGGAGATAAGTTCAGGATGACAAGGCAGAGATCAAGGGTATGTTCCGAAATACAACACAGTACACTGTCGAATGCGAATGAAATCGACGCCATATTGGTGATTCCTTGTATCGAATATGGTGGAATACGACGTCAATTAATGAGGTCATTCGCATTCGACATTGTACTGTGTTGTATTTCGGAACATACCACAAGAAAACGGTTCTTGTCAATCTAGTGGTGCATTCTGTGCATTTCACGGATCGGGTAGATTTGTGCCTTAATGTCGTCAAAAATGTCTGTGGTTTCGAGTTCCTTAAGAAGTCCTCTTGCAACCTCACGAAGATTACGCTTCTCTGGTAGGGCGTAGGTATAGAAAGAAATTTCCCTGTCCGGCGTTTTGCACTTTTGGGCAGCATATTTTTTTTAGTGTTCAACCAGTTTGCCAGGTTACTCCACTTTGTCTTGTCCTGAATGATGATGGGTGGAGGCGGCTTTTCCCTACATTCAGCAGGGGGCCCATTTGCTGCTGGCTTAGCCACTGGCTTGGGGGGTTATGTACGCGTCGCGTGGGCTGACTTTTTGGCCAGAGTGGCGGTCGAGTTCGTCTCGGCTGCCTTTTTCGGAGAAGTGCGTTTACGCTTTTTGCCCTGGATGAGGGTGAAACCTTCGTCTTCGGGCTTGGGCGGGGCCCGCGTCTCTCCCTATCGTCTCGAGTAGGCTGGGGACAGACCACGGGTTGACATCGCAGACGACGTAGGTGAAACTGCGTCGTTTTTAGACGCGACCTCTTCCGCGATATATATATATATATATAATATTTACTGTACAACTTTCTCGTTTTTATGACATCGATTAAAAAGACAGAAAAATAAATATAATATGAAATAATGACATACCTGTTTTGAGTCATTTCCTCGCTGGTTGCTGCGCAAATCTATTGTATGGAAGCCATCGTCAACTGCGTCAAAGGCATTGTTCACGCAGCCACCCTCCTCTACCGCCATCACTAATCACTGCAGATAAAAAAATAGATGATTTAGTACACGGCTTTGGTAGAATTAGCACGTGGCAGAGTCAAGTTGCAGCTATATTGTGGCTGTAGCACAATATAGCTGCAACTTGGCTCTACCAAGTAGAGGGTCGACTCTACTGGGTAGGACTACGCTCTCACAGAATATCAGCCTAAAATAGCAGCTTAGTGCTGCTGTACTGCGTGTGATGTATGTAGAGAATCAGAGACCATTTTTACTTGTGTTTTTTTATTGTGGAAAAAGAGGCCCGTGTCCAGTTGTGGACTTTCATCAGCTGATGGAGAAGAAATGTCAAAAGTGTTGATAGATATATGTAAGTCGGTGAGACATATCTTTATGTTAACAATAAAGCCTGGGTATAAAAGAGAGTATAGAAATTTACTAACTCTGAGTTCATCATCTTCATAATCATAAGCCAGCGGTATTCCAACGCTGGACATAGGCCTCTGGCGCCCAAATTAGCCATATTACTATTGGACATTGTTACCTAGTAGTTATTTGAAGGTTGGAAGATTTAAATACCCAGCACATAATAAAAACTTCTACGATACAACGCTGACTATAAAAACGCCACAATTATAATTTACTTGAAAGAAACATACGAGTAAGTGTCATAAGTGTACTAGCGGTGTAATGGAAGCCACACACGGTCAGTTTAACTGATCATTCCAACTGATCAGTTCAAACTAAAACTGTTGATATTTTTTAAAATATCGGATTTTCAATATTATTGATAATTATGAATATATCAATATTGGAGTTTTATATATAAGTTGTATATAAGCTTTATAAATGAGATGTAGCAAAATATATATTATATAATTTGCTACATCGACGCCATTTTGACAGTTGACATTATAGTAAATATTTTAGTCGATTTTAGTAGTTTTTAGTGTAGTTAGTTTTTTTTTTGGTTGAGTTTTCGAAGTGTTCCAAATTTAAGTGTTCAAAATTAGTTGTACTACTTATACGACTTTGTGTTTTTGTCTCTGTCCTTCTAATTTTGGTTTTATAGGGCGGCAAAGCTTAGGGTGACCATATCACCCACATGTACCCTAGCATTAAGAATAAAACTTGGAAAGCGTATAGAAATTTACTATCACTGAGTACATATTGGCGCAAATGCAATATCTATGGCTTTATTCACTGTAAACAATACATCAGTGAACGACCGCCCGTGAACCAGGTCAGACGTGTACAACAAATATGATATACCACTATATAAGATTTCTTTTCATCGTAATCACTAATCTTAATTCACTATGTTTCTTTATTATTTCAGTAATATATACATACATATCATTTTCGTCTTTTTTATACAAGTGAGGGTGCACAGTCCATCTAATATCAAGTGGACTGATGCCCATATGCTGACGCCCGCGTGACGCGTTTTCATCCCTGAGGACTACGGATGGATAACATTTTTTTTAAAACGTTACCCCCACACTAGGATTTTCTCCTGTACTGTGGAGGCAGTTTACAAACACAAATTGCACAAGGACAAACATCCAGACCCGGAACAATTATTTGTAACGATATACAAATACTTGTTCCGTGTGGGATTCGAACCCGCGGCCCCCAGCGCAGCCACTCATTGCTAAGCCACTGTGTCACGGAGTGCTAAAACTATACAATAGCTGCAAAATCGTAAGCTCTACCATGTAAAACGTTATTGTTTATCAACACCACATATTACACATATTATACAATCATATAATTTTTACTGGAGAGCAAAAAAGTGTCTGTACTTCATAGATACTTCTCCAAAACACTATATGGAAAAAATCTATGATAAATAATATAGCCTCAGAATTGATAACCTATTTTATAAGAATAAAGATAAATTAATACTTGGTAGAGCCCCGCTGTAGCTATATTATGATTGTAGCATGAATGGGTCGACTCAACCGAGATAGGACCACGCTTTCACAGAATGCCAGCGAAAAATAACAGCTCCAAGCTGCTATTTTCGTATGGTAAGTGTAGAGAACCAAACACTTTTTTACTAGAAACGAGGCATTCCATCTTAGTCCTCAGGGGTGACAACGCATCTTCGTTCTGATTCTTAAGCGAGGATAAATGTAGATGTCCATGGGCCACAGCATCCACTTACCATCAGGTGGACTGTGTGCTCGTTTGTCACACAGGCTAGGTCACACAGTCCGCCTGATGGTAAATGGATGCTGTGACACTATATCTATCCTCAATTAAGAATCAAAATGCAGATGCATGGTCGCTCCTAGATCAAACATAGATAAACTCGTAACTAGTAAAAATAAGAAGTAAGCAGTCAACGAATACGTGGGCTTCTTTATATGAAGTTAGTTGAAACTGTCCATGAGTCTATCAGGTAAGTGAACGCGCAGGACTCTTGGTAACTAAACTTTGTCGGTTCAAACCATTTAAAAAGATGAATTTTAGACCACATTGCAAGATTCAGTGACAATATATTTTAATAATCTTAGCAAATTTAAAAATAGAATGTCAATTTTGATTCTATTCTATTATAGAGCCATATCTGGCTCTAAGGCAAGATTTAGGATATTATAAAAATACTGGCTACTATATACTAAAAAAAAACTTCTTTTTCTAAATTTCTTCGTGTAAATGTAAACTTTTATATCTATGCTAATTTTAATGGATGGATGTAAGTTGCACTGAAATTTCTAACAATTAAATAATACAATATAAATGATAATAATGAAAAGTTGTACATTTTGCAAAACATTAATGTAATGTATGCATAGGGCACGGATGACATGCATTTATTCATGGCGGGCGAGGCGAGTTCAGGACGAGAAGCAATTTGTGGCGACCTTTGTCCACAGTGTGTTCAGGAAAATCATTTACCAGTTATGAAAAAGAATATGTAAGCGCTAGGTACAACATGCTCCCGGATTAACACAACAAATGAGGTTATCCTAATAATAATATATAATACTTATTACTTACATAAAGTTAAGGCCAATAACAATACAATCTGGACAAACCTTTAAATTCTGAAACACTGTCCACAAGACAACACACAAAAAGAGACAATAGCCCAAGTATATGCCAGCACCCTATTACCACTCTCTAATCTCGCTAAGTTTGGCGCGCCCCAGGATTCAAAAACACCTCCTAATTACATACCGCGTTTAGGAACACTAGCCCAATGGGGCATCCTGGACAAGCAGATGGGTGCTGGATTGACTTACCTGGATAAAAGCCGCTTCCGCACCTATTAGTTTTTATCCGACTTAAGTTCTCAATTTGACCGTAGTTTCTTTTCTATTTTTTGTATCTATGTTACATGTTATCTTTAACAATTGTAAACTGATTTCAAGGAATTTTTATTTTTCCTTCAACGTTCTATTAAAAAGGTTATACTACAAAGATAGTACCATACATATTATGAAAAAAAAAATTGTGCGTGTCAGCTCCGACGCGTGACTGGAGTTTACTCTTATAAAAACGATTGTCTTACAATAAATACAATAGGCGGAGGAAGTAAATGAACACATATATTTATTTATGTAGATTTAAGAAAATATACTACATAAAAATATATGACTTATATCACATAATTAATTGCGCGCTATGAGATGCGCGAGTATGTTGCGCAGAAAACTAATCGGCTTCACTTTTTTAACGCTTGATTTTACTACCCCTCCATTTTTTATACCGAGCGTTATATTTGAAACAATTCACTGCGAGGGGTAGAAAGTAGTGGAAGAAATTTTTAATGTAATTACTAGACGACATTCCAGTTATTACCGAAAGATTATGATATTTATACAAATAAATAAAATTGCATTAATGTCAAAATAACACCTTTATACTAAATGCTGAAAGTATATACGGTACTTATAACAAAAACATGTTTTTTTTTCTAATTTTGTCTATGTCTGCCTGTTTGCTCCGGCTAATCTCCGAAACCGCTGGACCGATTTTGGCGGGACTTTCACTGGCAGATAGCTGATGTTATCAGTGACTTAGGCTTATTTAAGAAAAAGAATTAGGGTTCCGTGTAAATTAATTAAAATCCTAAGTTACACGTGGGCTAAGTCGTGGGGAACTGCAACTAATTTAATTATAATTTTTTTTTTTGAAAAATCATACTTTAAATAACTAATTAGAATAAAATCATTTCCACATAACGCCCCTAAAGTCAAAGTTTTCAATTTAGCACCAACTACAGAAGCTATAATGTGAAGATTATTTTTAGTCCTTAAAGCCTGTAAATATTTCTGTTATTTCTAAATTATCCATATAATTAAATAAAACTGACGAGCGTAGTGCGTTCAGAATCAGCACGGTATGTTTTTATAGTTATAATTAACAGTTACTTTACCATTTCTGCACAGGCAAAGCCTCCATAAATTCATGAAAGTTCAAACACGACGTGAATATTTAATTGTATAAATAGTTTGTTGACTGTAGATTACGTTTAGACAATTATTATAAGCAAACCTATTTTTCTTTTCTGACATTTTAGTGTTTGGCCACGGCAGCGTCCTTGACCACGGCGTTACTAAAACGACTAAACGTCGTGATGTCATACTTCATCCACCATTCGCTTTTAAATATTTTTTCTTTTATAAAATATGGTGACAAACGAGCACACAGTCCACCGAATGATAAGTGGTTACTGCGGCCCATAGAAAACGTTTATTATATTTAACACACAAGTAAAGGAGAGGACACATCATGATAAAAGTTTGTACGAAGGCTCTACTTATCTCACAATGAAATTTATAATTGTTATTTTTTTATAAGGTTATGTAAAGTTTTAATTAATAAGGTGTGCACTTTGTTATTATACAACACATATGGGGATAAAATAAATAGGTATATACGTCACCTCAAATACTTATATATATATATACAAATACAAGAATATATTCATATTTAAACAAACATTAATACGTACATAAATACTTAATATAATATAAAGTCAAAATTAAATATAAAAACATATATACACACACACA